CAGCTTCCTAAACAATCACCTGTACCCTTAATCTCTTCCTACCACAATAGCCCTACTTCCTACCAAAGTGCCTCAGAACCGTGTTAGAGTTAAGAGCACAGTTCTATAGCTGATTGCTTTTGGATTCACAGCCCATCTCCACCATGTGTCTGTTGGCAAGTCACTGAAACTTTATAATTTGGTTTCCTAATTTATAAAATAAGGGTAGTAGGACTGTTACAAATATTTGAAGAACTAAAGAGGTTCATATTTTTGAAGTGTTCGTAACAGTGCCTGGCACACAGTATTTGCTGTGCTTCTGTTAACTAGTCGGAGAAAAATACACACTTTTCAAAATTTTTACCTTAGGAGACCAAAGTATAGTCAGAATGCATCATTGTGAGGCAAAATTCGAAACTGTGAAAGAAGAAAATGGAGATAAGCCAAAACATGGGAGAGAAGCTGAAATGGAATAGAGCTACTTTTCATTTTTTTAAACAGGGCTTAGGATCAAACCCAGGGCCCCATATATGCCAGACAAACACTCTTAACAAGGAGCTGCATCCCCAGCCCAAAATATTTTGAAGAGTAAGGAAAGTAAATACAACAATAAATTGGAACAGAATTAAAACCTACAAATGATGATTAAAATCAAGTCACTACATTAGAAAATAGCAGAAAAGATCCTATTCAAACAGTAACCAAACTATAGCTCTAGAAGTAAGTCTAACAAGAAATATACCTATAGAAAAAAAAAATGGTAAGTATCATTTAAACATACAAATGAATTTGTAAGAGGATAAATGTTTCAAGCTTTAAAAATATTGCCACAAATGTTAATTTTCCCAACTAGTTTAGAGGATTAATTCAATTTCAATAAAACTTAAGCATGATTTGCTTTAAAATATCAAAAATGATTGTATAGTTTACTTAGCAATACAGGTTTTAGAGTTTGGGTGTGGTTTGAATGTGTTTCCCAAAGGTTTATACACTGGAGGATTGGTTCTCAGCATGATGGTGGTGAGGAAATGGTAAAACCTTTCAGCAGTAGGGCCTAGTCCAAGGAAATCAATTCACTGGGGTTGCCAACCTCTGAAGGAATTAACATCACTCTCATGGACACTGGAGTTCCAGCAAATTCAAGTTGTAATAAAAAGGGTAAGTCTAGCTCCTGAATCCCTCTGGTTTCCTGTCTTGCCATGTGATGTCATCCAAACACATACCACTGTGATGCCATCTGCCACAAGACTCTCATCAGAGGACAAACAGAAGGCGCTACCCAATCTAGGACTTTTAACCTCTAAAACTGTGAACTACATAAACCTGTTGTCTATATTATTCTGCATCAGTTATTTTGTTACAGCAACCAAAAATGGACTGATACAAGGGGCTAGTACTTTCATATCTAAGAATCAGTAGCAGAACTATAGATTCCAGGAGGTTTGTGCATGTGAACATGCTCAGAAGAACTTTGGTGCATGCTTTGAGTGAGGGTCACTTGCTCTTGTGCAGTTTTCATTGCACTTCTCAAAAGAAACTAAAAGGACCTAATTTATTTGTTTAAACAGGTAAGAACTATCCCTCCTAAAAACAGCTTTTTATTTGGTTGATTTGGGTGAGTTTTCATTTATCTTTTCCAGTTTTATGGACAAACTGACAAATAAAAATTATATACAATTTAAGGCATGCACTTAAATTATTTTGACACAGATATACATTGTGAAACAATTCCTTAATCAAGCTAATTAATATACTCATCACCTCACAGTTAACTTTTTTATGTGTTGTGAGAATATTTAAGATCTACTATCTACGCAAATTTCAATACAATATTATTAACTACTCATCTTGCGCATTAAATGGTCTCCATACTTACTCAACTAACGAAGTGTGTAGTCTTTGACAAGCATCTCCAAACTTTCCTCTCCCTCAATCCTGGTAACATCCCCCCCAACTATGTTTCTATGACTTCAACATTTTGAGATCATGTAACTAAAAGTTCATCCATTGTTATAAAAAAATGGCAGGATTTCCCTTTAAAGAAGGAAATCATTGAAAAAAAAATCATTCTAGGAAATCAGATATTTGAGTAGCAGGTTGCTCACACCAGTAATTCCAGCCACACAGGAGGCTAAAGCAGAACAATGGCACTCTGAGACCAGTCTGGGCAACTTAGCAAGACCCTGTCTCAAAATAAAATAATAAATGGTGAGGATGTAGCTCAGTACTTCCTGGGTTCATTCCCAGTATCATAAAGAAAGAAAAAGAAGAAGAAGGAAAGGAAAGGAAAGGGAAGGAAAGG